AAAGGGCCAGCCTGGGCAGGAGCCTACAAGCAGGTGGGGGGGTGGGGCATCAGAGAGCACAGTTTCCTGCTGTGTCCAGCTCAAGACGGGTCCAGCACTTGTGGCGTCCTGGGAACACTGCTTTCTTTTCTTCCCATAGAGGGGATGTGTGTCCAGCACATGTGGCCTTCTGAAGAGAGTGCTACTAGATTGCCCTCCTTCATGCAGGTTGCCATACAAGATATCAGTCTTCTCCAAATCACACAGAGTGATTGGGAGCATATGCTGACTGAATGTGGCCATAAACCTGGGCCTTATGCTGCACTGCTTTGTAGTTCAGTGATGCCAGACCACTTACTGGTGGCTTGGCATGGGAAGGTGTCCTACCATGGAGGATGGCATAAGACTGACCTTCCCGAAAACCTTGTGAGAAGGATCAAAGAGTTCCTCTGTAAGATCTTCATGGAGCTGTGCAGAAAAGACTCCCGCTCCATCTGCAGACATGTGAAGAAGCTGTTCTGGGCCCCCCGCGCTGTGTACAGAGCCTGCACTGCACCTCACAGCCCACTGCCTTAACCCGCTTGTAGTTAGAAAAAGTCTGTGAACTCACCAGAAGTGCCCTCCCCAGGGTTGGTGCTGGATTGGGAGACATCCTGGGAGGGGTGGACTGGCTCCAGCATTAGGAACAGCTCCTGGCTCTTGGGGATCACTGGCTGGCTAGTCTCCTCCTCCTCCCCCTCCATCACCATGGTGTCCTACAGGTGTGTCTTGGCTGAACTCCACGACTATGCTAGGGAAGTTGGCTGCCCCCCCTCGCCGCATAATGGCATCCACCTGGTCATAGAAGCAGCACGTGTGAGGTGCTGCACCTGACTGTCCGCTCTCCTCCTTTGTGTTATGGTAGAACTGGCGAAGCTCCTTAATTTTCACTCAACACTCCTGGCTATCCCTGAAATAGCCTTTATCCCCTAGGCAGCTTGCAATCCTGCCATAAATCTCAGCATTCCTCTTGCTGATTTGGAGCTCACTGAGGATGGATTCATCTCCCCACTCCTCAATGAGGTCCAAAATCTCCTGGACAGTCCACGTTGGCACTCTTCTGTGCTCCTGGAAACTGGAACCCCTGGGAGCAGAAGTGCTTGAAGTTGTTGCACTGTTGGTCAGATTACTCAAAGCCTTGTCCATGTGTGCTGTGGTGTGCTGCTTGCTCAAGAATGGGCTCACAATGCTGGCCACACGGGAAAGGCCCTTCTACTGTTCCCGGGCCTTTTTCAGCTCAATGGAAGAGCAGTAGAGGTGCAAGTTCTGGCCAGAAGGGGCAGAGCAGGAAGCTGTGGGAGGCCTCCTGGAGGCCAATAGTATCGACTTTCTGGCAATGCTGCATCTACACTACTGTAAATTCAACCATGCAAGGTCTAGAATAGCGTTATTCCTCGTGAAAAGCAGGAGTATTGAAATTGACTTCTGTGGCCCTTAAGGTGGATGCGACAGGCTTGGTAGTATGTACACATCACTTTTTAAAAATCAACCATATATGGCTAAATTCGATGTAAATTCTTAGTGTAGACCAAACCTGGATGCCCATATTACTACTTTTCTGGAATCAGCCCCAGAAGTTATGTCAAATACACATGCCACAAAGTTGGTGTTACACTGAATTAACATATTTTACATTTTGAATGCGATGCTAACAGGAAAAGTGAAATGGAGTGCTAGATTCATCCCTGAGATATGTTACTGCTTCAATGTTAGAGACGAGCAACACCACAGAGTTTGATGGACAGCTGAATACAGGAATTCCCTTCACCCATTGAAGCCATAGTGTCAATGGAAGAGAGAACCAAACACAACTTTAAAATCAGAAGTAGCTTTCAGGGGGTTGGGAGAAGCCAGTTCTCCACTGTGATAATTCCCATTTTGCTTATTAGTCAGGGTTGAGTAAGTCAGACTAAAGTGCAAGAGCAAAAATCCAAGTGGTGGTTGTTAGAACTGTGATAAGAATTCACTTCACAGTGCCTGAAAATGAGAAGCAGGAGGGAATGACAAAGAGCATAGGCATACAACACAACTCTTGGGAAGCCTGTACTTAACTACAAGACAGGACCTAATGAACACCATGCTGATGTCCTTACTCTATGGCAACTAGGCTCTGTCCTAATAGCAGCACCTGTGGGATTCCCTTATTGAGTGCAGAGTCTTTTTCTGCGGACGATGGTGTTCTGAGGAAAGGTTCCAGTATGACAGCCGTGTGGACTAGACCTAGGCCACATTTTATCCAGAGTCAGAACACCATGGGTAGCTGCAAACTTCTCAGCACAGCTAAGCTAGAGGAATTACTTTTCTGGATAGAGAGATGGATGAGGGCCAGTTTTAAACTAAAGAACATAGTTGCATCATCTCTTCAGCCTCTGTGAATGGAGAGGAGCTGGCCCCTTCTGATCTGGCTCAGGAGGAACAGAAGAAGGTGTGGGGAGAGCTGCCTTTGTGACATGAATTCCTCAACCTCTTCCCCTCCCAAACCCCACTGAAAGGACTTTGTAGTATCCTGATATGTCAGTGAGGATGGGGCAGGGAAGCCATCCACTCCTAGTAGATTCTACTATCCTGAAGACCATGATGAAAGCACTTCAGTGGAATTTACTGAAGAGTCTGTAGTAACTTGGCCAGCTTCCTCCTCTCTGTTTTTTCTCCCTCTCACAAGTTTCCTATGAGAACCAAGTTGTTGTGGCACTGCAGAAAACCATGTGGAGCCAGCAGAAGTCCAGAGGCAAGGCACATGGGTGGATTCTCTAAGAACCATAGAAATAAAGGAATGAAGGGGTCCCTTGGTTTAGCATGCTGCATCCCACCATCTCTCATGATGGTACAAACTCCTGCCCAATGGAAGAATGAAGAAATTCTGTGCAGATTTGCCACTCTCTTATGCTAAAATAACCCATACAGAAGTGGCTCCACATGCTGCCCCTCATCTATAGGCACCAACCCCACAGCCTCCACTGGCCACCGCTCTCCACACTGATCAATGGGAGCTGCAGGAGTGGTGTCCGCAGGCAAGGACAGCATATGGAGACCTCCTGCTCTGACTTTCTCAGGGGCTGTAGGGACATGCCAACCACCTTCAGGAGCACAATGTGTCAGGACACCATACTATAACATAGCTGTGCTCTAGCTGTATCATAACATAGTTTGGTTCCACTTGGGTAGATGGAAACAAACTGTGTTTATAATTATGTTTTAGCCCTTCAAAGACCTGGCTCCCTATCCATTAGTAGTGAAGTACATTCAAGGTGCTGGTAAAGATTTACATAGCCCTTAATACTTTCTGTTCAGAGGTTGCCTCTCCTTCTGAGACCCACAATGGTAGTTGTTGTAATCCAGCACATTGTTCTAGCCTGAGATCTTTTTCAAGAGCAAGTCTAAAACTCTGCAACACAAATTATACATCCCAAAATGATGTTGACTCCGAGATCGCTTTCTTGAATGGTAACAGCTACATTAGACATCATGGATGGTTCTCTGAAAACAACTGCTCCACATGTAGTGGCAGTTAAGAAAGCTAGCAGAGTATTATGAACTACAGGTTGAACATCCTGGTCTGGGACTCTGGTCTGGCAACATCCAAGGTCCAACAAGTTGCCAGACCAGATTGCCTGGGACCAAAGACCCCAGGGAGGCTGGTGGCAGAGAGTGCAGTTAGGAGCCCAGCAACCGGGGCTGGCCATGGAGCCAAGAGCCTGGTGGCCCAGCTATGACGAAATCCCAAGGAGCCCAGGGGCTGGCTATGGAGCCAGAAGCCCATTGGCCTGAAGGCAGAGGAGCCTGGGGGCTATGAAGGGAGCCTGGTCAGATCTGATGATGGACCTGGGGACTGTCCAGAGTCCAGCAGCAGAGGGGTTGGAACTGACCTCCCTTAATCTAGCAAACTCCCTCTTTTGGGACTGTTTAGGTCACAAGACTGCTAGATTAGGGAGGTCCAATTTATATTGGAAAAGGGTTAGATAAGGCAGAAAATATCATAATGTCACTTGCACCTTTAATACTTCATGCAGTTCTGATTGCCTGTGCTCAAAAAAGATATATTAGAAGTCAAAGAAGTACAGAAAATGGCAACAAAAATGATGAAGGGATAGAGCAGCTTTCATATGGGAAGAGATTATAAAGACTAAGACTGTTTATCCTGGAAACGAAATTACTACAAGGGGTACGATATAGATCTAGAAAATCAAGAATAGTATAAGGAAAGTGAATAGGGAAGTGCTATTTCAAATGTAAGGAAGTACTTATCATAATGCAGAGTCAACTTGTGGAACTTGTTGTGGGGGATATTATGAAGGCCAAAAGTGTAACAGGGATCAAGAAAGAATTTGATAAGATAATGAGGAATAGGACCATCAATAGTTATTAACCAAGATGGTCAGGAATGTAGCCCCCTGTTCCAGGTAACCCTAAGCCTCTGAAGCTTGGACTGAACAACAGGGAATGAATCACTTATAATTGTCCCATTCTGGTCATTCTTTCTGAAGCTTCTGGCATTGGCCAGTTTCAGAAGACAGGAGGCTGGGTCAGATGGACCATCAGTCTGTCCCAATATGGACATTCTTGTGTTTTTAGTTTAACATCCTCTTGTAGATATCCAATTATACATATCCAATCCCTACTGTTCTCAGATGGTGCTACACGATTTGCCTCTTTACCAAAGCATTTCCCAACAATTTGGAGCAGAACTGAAATCCCACTCAGCATCTTGGGAAAACAAGTACACAAAAGATACAATGCATTTGAAGCAGTGTTCCCTCTAAACTGCCTGTCAGTACAGCTTAACAGGTGATTCATCAGCCCAACCCAGTCAGTCAGCTCTGTGCAGGGAAACCTGAGCCTCTGACTAAGCTGGGCTGATTAATCACCACCTGTGAAGCTGTGCTGCTGTGCAGTTTAGAGGGAATGCTGATTTGAAGTATATAACAAAATACTGTAGTATCAAGATGATGGTATCAGCTTTTGGTCATTATTATTGATCCTAGGATGGATTTGAACCAGTGACTGAGAGAGAGAGAAGGATTCTGTCACCAATGTCCTGAACTAACATCTCTGCCTTATTACCACCAACATGGGTCTTGATGTGGAGAACAGCAAAGTTGTCAGAGGTAATTTCATCTGAAGATTTCCTTCTAGATATTTATTATTAATACTTCTCCTTCTGTCACTGTCATAGTTAATAGAGTTTCTAGGTGTGCATGGCATTTCTCACTCAGCTCTTTGCCCTGAGAACCTATCAAGCTTCAGGGTGTCTTCTATCTGGTGATATTGTTTTCCATGGATGAGTTTTCAGCAGCAACATGATTCAGTCCACAAGTTAGATTCTGATGTGCAACTGCCTACCATTTATTTCCAAAAGCTATTTAACTGATTGTCATCACTCACTGCCAATGTTTGTGTGTTCTAATGAGAGGGCCAGTGAGAGCAAATTGATAGTTGGTCCAGCTTGGAGGTAACATGCATGAAAATGTCAATGCAAATATTGAGCAAAAAGGATTTGAAAATCAACAGCCCTTTCTGTCACTGAGTACAGCTTAATCCTCTTCTAGGCCTATTGAGAGACATCCTCAGTGAGTCTCTGACGTCAGCGGAGCTGTTGCTCTCAGTCACATTTCAAGACACTCAACTTTTTGACTGAAGTAAAAATAAACTGCAGAGAGGGGGAGAGATTTTTTTAAGGCAAAGAAGCCATACAGCTTCATAAGTGATGTTGTTTTTATTCCAAGACTTATGTGCAGTGAAAGAGATTAAGGAAACTGGGATAAAAATAGCATTCTGTAGATATCTGAAGTGGTTTAGCCTTCTTAAAAATGAAACACTTCATGATTTCTCTTTCTTTCAGTCAAAGGGTTGAAAGTGAGCTAAAATGCTCCGGAAAAATCCAGTTAGATGGATGTTACAACTTGGTTGAGGCAACTCTCAGTTATATCCTGAGAATTTTAGATGCAGGATTCGTATTAACACAAATGAAGGATGCTAAATAAAGGGATGTTGATTTTCACAAATGATGGAGGAGTGGCTTGAGTTCTTCACTTTGAGCAAAGAGGATACTTTGGGAATATCTGCATTCAATCAAAGGCAATGTATGAAACTTCCTAGGAGTCTGAGGATGACCCCTAATGTTCCTTAATAAGAGCAAATTGCAGCCCATTGGATTGCATAGGTGCCTAGAGATGTACTTTGAAAAAAATGAAGACAATTGAGTGTAGTCCAAAAGTCCTAGCATGCAATGCTTCATCTTGATCCTATAAGTCCTCGCTTGAACCAAGATGAAGCAGAGCAGGGTGGGATCTGGTCTCTGGGTGAGTGACACTCCATATTATAAATGTGGATGGCCCTGGAGCTCTTTGTGCTGTGTTTAGGCCATCTGTAGCCTTCTGAGTTTACTTTTCGCAAAGCACCTACATAGTCATTCCACTCCTACCTTCCAGGAAAGGGAGAGAGATTTGTGGTAACCAACCACCATACCCCTTTCAAAGAGATAATCATTGTGAGTCCTACTTGTGGCAAAGGAAACGAATTGCAAACATATGTAGGATAGCCCAGTTCCCCTTTCTCATTGGAAGCCTTCTACAAGCAGGCTTGTTGGCTGTGTATATGTAACCAATATGTTGTGGATACCGAAAAGCAAGTGTTAGGTAATAACTCTTAGCAAATTACTTAAAATTTATAAGTGGTTATAAATATTGAATGGGTGCACTTCAGTTTGAAGTCCGTGTATACTCTGTAATTTAAAGCTTCCATCTGGAAAGGGTGTTTCAAGTTTTAAAAAGCCTCATTCATTCTCTTATTTTAAAATATAACCTATTAAAAATTGAGACACCCTTTTAGGAGCTGTTGGGGGCCCTCAAGTAACTAAAACCTAACATGGTTCCCATTTGTTGTGGCTCCCAATGACATTGCAATGTAATCCTGCCTGACTGAAGAATGCAAGGATGTCCTCTTGTGGTTGCCCTGTGGTCATTAATGTCATGAATATGAGTGGCCTCAGTTGCTTGTCATATCAATCTTATTCAGAAGATGTGTGTGAGATGACCTTGGCAGAGACACCTGCAAAGCACATTAAAATTAGGTGCTGTGGATTGAGAGTTCTTTAGGGTGCTGAGAATCTCTTGGAGGTGCTAAGCACCAATGTCATCAATGAGAGTTGAGGGCACCAAGATCCACCAGGAGTTAACACGTCACAGAAGAGAAGTCTTAAGTCCTGATCAGAAGCCCAATGGAAAGTTTCCTAAGCCCAGACCCTTAAACGTATTTAAGCACCTAACTCCCACTGTTAGGTGCCTACATATTTTTGAGGATCTGGAACCCAGACTTTAATAGGCTCATGTTAGTCCCTCAGAAAGGAACCTGTAAGAATACTAAAACAAGAGCTTCATATAGAACTCTGTGACTGTGATAGCCTGTAATTAACGCGGCCTCTGCTGTCTACTATTGTACACATTGATCGAAGTAGACAGGGTGGCTGTGCCCCTTCTTGAATGATCTATTTTGCCCAGAAACTATATGGTTGTTTCTGTACCAGTCACCCCAGCTTGCAGATTTGAAGCTAATAATATTGAATTCTGGAAGAAGCTGAGTCTGCATCATCCTTCTCAAAGATTGACAATAGTTACTAAACACAGCACGCAGGATAGTTAAGTAATAACCGGAAATCATCACCCACGCAGGGTGAAGAAGAAAAGGGATGTATTTATATATTAACTTGTTTCAAAATAAATATTGATTCACTCTCCAAGTTACTAATTAAACAATTAGTTTATTTTGTAGCACTTTTTTTAAAAGGAGAGAAATTTCAGTGATTTCTAGTTTGTAAATAATTACTGAAGTCAAAATGAGTTAATCTATTTAAGTAATTCTTCAGTGCCTTTAAACTTTCATTTCCAGTTATGGGTGACTTTTTTAATGTGCTCAATAAAGGCAGTGTGAAGTTAGCAAGAATGTTAACAATTGTAAATAATGCTGTTGTATAAGCTTGTCCTCACCTCCATCTCCATGTATGTTTTTATACTGGAATATCTCAGCACCTTAAATTGCCTCTGTTCTCCCTGCTGTCTGTCTGTCTCTGTGCTTTCCTCCTACCTCTCCATTTGTCTCCCCCTCAAGTCTCAGCACTTTCTATCTTTCCCCTGGTAATTAATGTAATGATATGAGTGGCCTGTCCACCTCATTTTTGCCCACACTCTCATCCACTGCCCATTGATGTCAGTGGAAGTCTTCTCATTGACTTCAATGGGCTTCAGATGGGGCAGGTCCACATTGCAAATGAAGCGGGGAGTTAAATATCCAGTGCTTAATTTGCATAAAAATAGCCACTGTTTTTGCTGGCCCAGCACTTTGTCAGCAAAAAGCAGCAGTCTAGAGGGGGATCTGTCGAGAAAGAAAGCCTTGCAGGAGGCATAAGGGATCTGTCAAAAAAGAAGGAGAGTTTGTACAGGGCACTGAAAGCAACCGGTAGCAGAGTTTTGTGTATGTCTTCTGGTTTATTTGACTGAACATAGTGCTGGTGAATTTATTTGCAGCACCTGAGTCTGGAGACTGATTCCATGAATAATAAAAGATACAACACAGACTTCCCCCATACTGGTTCACTAATGTGCATTAAGTCTATTACGAATAGGTCACCAAAAAACTCCTCCATATTTATGCAGTCCTTGGCCTCTCTACTCAGATTGTCTATGTGTTATAATTATGGAAGTGTGGTGATGCAGACATCTGTCCAGAAGGAACTAGGCTGAGACTTACCAAACTTATTTCATGGGCTACCAAGCAAGGTATCGTATGTTGCAACTTTGAGATGTTCATTCAAACCACACCTTGGGAAGTAAACATCCCCATAGCTCATTGCCAATTCCCAGAACCATCCAAATGCCAATACTATGTTCAGATGGGCATATGAAGTGGAAAGAAAAAATGTCCACCGATGCTTTCAAAAGCTTGGAGTTCCTCTAGGAACTCCTCCCAAGAGAGAGGTTTTATTATTCTTGTCATTTGCTGTTTATCAATATAAAAGCAACATTCAAAGTCACAGAAGCTACCCTATCCACAAAAGGCTCAAAGTATTGAATTGTGTCCTTCACACTGGTCTGTGGGAATTGCCGCAGCCGCTGCACAGCAAGAGAGGAACCCCTGCTGTTTAGAAAAAAATGTGGGTTGCTATAGAGAGCTCTGTTAGTTCTCCTAGGAAACTGTCAAAAGCATATTCTGAGTAACAGCTGGAAAAAAAGCAATTGAATAGAATTAAAGGGGCAATGACATCCTGTGTTTGGAAGTTTCTCTACTGATGAGAGTAGAGGAATGGGAATCAGGATTTCTGGGTTCTTGCAACATGGTGACTTGTCGTGGGGGCTAGAGATCTTGGGCTGTGCCAATCTACTTACAGGATGAGCCCCATTTGAGGGGAATCCTGTGAGTTGAGTATAAAAGGAGCAAGAAGCTGCAGTGAAGGGGGAAAGCTTGGGAAGTGGTGGTAGACTCTGCAGAAAAGGAAGAAAACTTTCCAGGAAGGAAGGCCTGGGTGGAGGAAGAGAAATCTTGGATTGTATGGACTTATGAATGGACATTGTTTTGGGATACTGAGTTTTATTCACAGGTTATTTTACATTAAGAACACCAGTCCCCAAGGAGAGGTATTTTTGACCAATTGAAACCTTGAAGTGAAGTTTATTTGAACAGTCCAAGAGGAGAAACAGGAAGGTTACCTGTAGTGTGACCCTAGGCCATGAGTAGTGCATAGGAGGCAGCTGGCCTCGCTATAGTTCTTTTCACCGCTGTACTATTGAGTTGCTTGGTAACTTTAGTCAATCCATTTAAAAGCTCAGTGCCTCAGTTTGTCTATTTGCAGAACTGGAATAAAATGTCTGGCTCTAGGGTTTCTGCTATCCTAAGCTAGTGAGAAAATTATTTCCCCTTTCAGCATGTACTCACCCATACAAAATTACTGAAATATTTTTGAAGCTCAAAATTACTCCTTGCTCTCTGGCTATGGCTACACTACAGGGTTTTTGAGCAAAACCAGCCATTTTTGGGCAAAAACCTGTGGAGCATCCACACCTCAAGCATGTTTTTGCGCAAGAAAATCTATAGTCCATTGACAGAACAGAAGGCT